GTCATCAACAGTCCTGTCTTATTGCACTACAATCAATCCTATCGACCAACCTCCTTAATTCTGTAGAAGCAGTTTTTTCTCTCTTTTTTTAAACTGGGGGTCCGCTGAACCCTGCCCCCGCTTTATTGGTAGGAGTTTTTTTTTCACTGCTTCCTCCTTAGTTCACCACGCGTTTCAGAGAGTGTAGACTATTGTTTTAAAATGACGATATGTTAGTGAATATGAATTTATCTGCCTACACTACTGAACACTCCCGCTGCTTATGTGGTTGTTCACGGAGAGCAGCATTTATCAACTTTGTACTTCATTTTTTCCACAGCACTAAGTTTGCAATGACGAGGCCCTCCGGGCCTAAAATATAAAATTTATTTATTTTATTTATTTATACTGACGCTTAGCAGCTATGAGATCTTGGGAATGTTTAGAGCTTTCCGTTGAATGACAAGACGGAACTTCTCCGAAAATGAGAGGTACAGAGAGGGAGTTCGATACAAGCAGTCTATATCGACTTCAAAAAGACTTTTAATGGCTGCCGCACCACCACCTTCTTTATCAACACGGCCGCATTGGAGAAAGAGGTAGGTTTCTGGCGTTGATAGAAAGCTTCCTAATCAGCCGCAAGCAAATTGTCCATACCAGTGACAAACAGTCGGCCAAATTTGCGACTGAGGGTGATGTTCTCCAAGGCTCCGTTCTCGACCCTAATTTGTTTATTGCTTACATCAACGATTACGTCAGCCATATTTGCCAATGATCTCAAACTTTGGCGCGTCATTTGAACTGCGGCTGATGAAAAGAACTTGCAAATTTAAATTTACCCTAAAAATGGTCAAAGGACTAGCTCTTGCTGTTTAATTAGAGCAAATGCAACATCATACAAGTTGGCAACACGGCTTGCCGTCTAAATGGCATACCATCGGAAGAAGTAGACGCCCAGAAGGAATTGGGATCTGGATCACGCCCTCGCTAAACCCTCCCTGCATTGCGCAAAGATAGCGAAGTCTGCGATGTCGGTTTTGTACCTCGTCAAACTAGCTTCTTCTGCCTTCACCAAATTCTTTAAAAACCTTCTTGCGGCCGCAATTAGGATCCGCTATCCAAGCTTACACGGTTCAAGGGCTTGCAACTGAACTTGTCATTGGACAGAGCTCACAGTCTTATGAAACATGGCTATCAAATCTCAATCTTTTTTTTATTGCGCTACAGACAGCTTCGGGGAGACCTGATCTTAATATTCCGCATATCACGCGTTCAGGACTGTATCAGGAAATTTCTTTGAGTTATCAACAAAAAAGAACTCGAGAAGTTATCCTCTCAAATAACGTGTGAATAGGGCCGGACAGGACATTAGGAAGTACTTTTTCCTCCAAGAGAGTTTTCGAAGCTTGGAATACTCTTCCTCGTTACGTCGTTATGCCGGAATCCCTATGGGATCTTAAGCGAATGTTGGATTGATATAGGAGTGCGCGCTACAGTACTAACTGAACCTTGTCGCTGGACTCTGCAATCAGCGGGAGGAGTATAAGGCCGCATCTTCCGCACTCAGTGATGATCCCTGTGACCTCTATAACGATCTTCCCCTGTTGGAGTGAATTGCAAGCACTTGAAGTCAGCGGTTGTGTCAGATGCAAGCAAGACAGATGGGGAGGAGGGCAATGTCAAGTGACAGCAACCGGGAGTATCCAAATGGCCCTCAGAATGCGTCGGTCGGGCAAGGTGATTCTTCAAGTAGTCCTCACTGCAGTCGCTTCTATGTCCCCACGCAAAGAGACAAGTGGGTCATGTGTGTTCAGGATAGCCCGACCCGACGGCCGCTGTGCCTCGTCCACCTTTTGTAGAAAGTCGAAAGCAGGAAAACCAGCGTATTCAAGTGGCTCTTAAAACAGTTGAAAAAAGGCAACACAGCCGAACGGAGGGTGGGGACAGTATTCAAGTAGCACTTAAGTTTTACTTGGCCGGGGGCTAGTTTTGACGCCAGTTTGCACTCAACTAGAAACAAAAGGGGTCATCAGGAACATAATTCTTGGAGAAAGAGGACTAAGCCATGCAATTCGGTTCTTGAAGGAAGGAGACTCGAGCACGCAGTTCAGAGCAAAAAAATCCGAAGATGACATTAACGTGATGAATATCACACTCCCGACGATTCCCAAGCATCACATTGTTGTACTGCCCTTTCGATGTGGAACGTGGCCATTACTTGTATATATGGTTGAAATAACCGCCTTAGATATTTGAAACATCTTTTCATTGAAGACATAGTCCTTCTGTTGGTTCGCCTTATCCAGTACCGGTTCCTTATGGTTGAGAGAATACAGCTTTGCCCAATATGGCCGTTCAGTTCATGATAGTGTTTAATTATTTAATATGTAACGAACCGTTCAGACGGAAAAATGGTAGGATGTTTAGCCCGGAGCGGGAAATTCGAGTTCTGTAATCGTCCTATGACAAGTACCACTCCATTCATAAGAATTGATATAAGGCATTTCAATGAACTAGTCACTTTGCGAATTGATCTCTTATTGCCATTGCACCGTGTAAGCGCATGCCCAACGATATTGCTGTTCTCAAGGATTTTCATTTCTTAGAGAAACGCCTCGAATTGTACCATCTGTATAACCTCTGTAGATGCTTTTCTCATTTCTGCCAAGGTCACTGCACCTTTTGAGGTTTTGTCTGCTTTTTGCAAATATTTTCTCTAATGCAGGATCCAGGTTACGCTTCTCTAAAGTTTGTTCCATGATTCAAGATGGCTATAACGCGATATGATTGTAACCGTTTGATGGAGCACGCAAATACTTTCTGATTCCAAACATAGCTAAGTTCTTATGTAAGTAGTATCCATAACTGGGAGTGATTTTTCTGTTGCTGTCGAGACGTCAGGACCATTTCTCAAGCTTTCTTACTTACGTATTACGTTCGCTGACGAGTCTAGCTCTTCAATTGCCCCCTGCTCAATTGCATAATGTTGATGGGACGTCTCCGAATCCTTTTAGAATTCAGCAATTGTCGAGCCCTTGGACCCTTTGTTCTTTGCGGGAGTCAAGGGTCCGGGCCCCTTCATTATCCAACCTAAACTATGATCGTGAACCGATAAGTCTTTTTACTTACTTCGTCCCTCATCAATTGCATCGTGTTGATCAGACATCTCAAAATCTTCTTTGAATTCAGTAATTTTCGAGCAGTAGATTGCTTCATTCTTTCTAGGGGCTGATGGTACATGTCCGGTGGTGCATACTGGAGGTTCACTTTTAGCATCCGATTTAATCTCTTGCTGTTGGCCTATTGCCCAAACCTTGTTTACTTCCTCAAATTTATTGTTTTCCTTCTTCGTAATACGCAGGCTTTCTAAATTGATGGGTCTTTTGATTTCTAGTATCCGTAATTTGGTACGCTCTTTTTCAAGTCGCTGTCTTAATAAGTCACTTCTGTCATGAGCGATAAATTGTTTATCTCGTGAGTTGCCCGGAATTTCCGGCAAATCCGGTAATTCTTGTCCGATTGACTCGGTCATGCTCGATTAAGAGTGTCAAATAACTCTAAGAATATCCGAACGTCCTGACTGTCTTTTGACATAGCCACTGACCTCGGGTGCGTCTATTCAGGTGACGAAACGCAGCACTGCATTAAGAAATACTGCATAAATAACAGGCATTCGAGCTGCAAAGCGAAAAGACGAGCGGTTCTTACAGTTATTCGAGCTGCTAAACGAAAATTCAAGCATTATTTACATTACACGAAAAGCTCTTCAGCTAGTTCTTACAGTTATTCGAGCTCATCAGACAGTTCTTACAGATATAATGCATAAAAAGTGTACAGTAGGAGATAAATTAAAGTAGACTGTTATAGTTGTACTGAATTAAATGGAAGATGAAAAGATTATGGGCAAAACAAACAAGGCCAAGAAAACTGGAAAGACAACTCCGATTGGATAGAAAAGGTTGCTGTCACGCTAGTGGTCCCCGTCCCCGTTGTCCATTTCCAGCGCGTGCTCGCGCCCACCTGCTTTCACATCTTATTGGTCTTCTTTTGGGCTTGTGGGTGTCACCTCTTAACCCTCGTTCTGTTGGCGTCCAGTGACCATCCACGCTCGTTTGTGCTGTTAGTCGGTGCGAAGAGGGTTATTACCACGTCTGATCCGAGTTCCCGTCCGAAGTCCTGTATCCTGTGCTATACACGTAGAGCTTGATAAGCTGCCGGTAGAGTCACACAGCGATTGATGGAGTTTGTTGTAGTTTGCAAGGTTTGGGGCAATACCTCAATTGAATTATTTAAACCTGCCAACCACCTCCTACTAAAAATGGGGTGGATT